GGGCAAAGGGCTCCGAGGACTCTGAGCGTGACGACAGTTGAGGCCCAACTTCCGATGAGCTCGAGGAGATAAAACGTTCTGGAAAGTGTTGCAGCGGCTGTCGCCCTGTGATCACGCGCTACCTGACGACCCGGCTCCATCAGGTCGAGGGCACAGAGCTGATTTGTGCCACCACCGCTGGCCTAGGGACATGTATAGGATGCAGGAGGGCATCCCCGCCACCCTTCTCGATCGGCGGTCTCAGAAAGTTGGGCCTACAGAGGAGCCGATGGACGCTGCCACAGGCCACCGCTGCGGCCCGGAGCAGCTGCCGGTGCCACCACTCCAGCAAGAATGGGACGCCTGTAAAAGCCACACGTCCCGGGGACCCACGGAGATGTCTATGTTCTAACATTGTCCCCCAGAGACCGGTTTTCGAGCCACTGTCCTCTGTCAGGTACTGCCACGTAGCCCCGACGGACACCATCGCCACGTTTCCGGAACCACGTGCAGCAAAGCCCGGATCCCGGGTCACAGAGCGACGGCGTACACTGGAAACGTGCCTGTCGTCATGGCCGCTCAGCACCGTGCCCGGCCGTGAGAGTGGCACTTCTGCCAGAAGCAGGTGAAAGGTGAAAGGTCCCATTCACTCCAGAATTAAGGGCGGCTTCCTGATTGGAGTCACGCCCCTGAGCTGCAGGAAACCAGGCCACGTCGGCTGGCTGCCCGTCACCGAAGGGCTGATTTAAACCAAGCCACGCGGGTCCGCTTGCCTGCTGTTGACGGTCGTGGATGGTCGTGACGCCTCGACCGAAGAGATTTGAGGAGTAATCCCTAAAGGCTGGGTGGCAAAAAACAAAACAAAACAAAAAAACAACAAAAAAACAACAACAACAAAAAAAAACGTAGAAAGTGTAAAGCAAAGCTTTATTTTATTTTATATTTTTAATTCTCATCATCAGCTGTTTGGGGGACTGAGAGCCTTTGATTTATTTCCCCGACAGTATTATTGAGAAGTCAGAAGGGGTCTGTATGTTCGGGTCAGTCTCACGGATGAAGGGATTTCTTCAGTCGGGTGGGACAGCCAGCACGGGGACAATTCAGACGTGCGGGAACGATGCGACAAAACGAGCCTTCTCTGCACGAATCCTGCGTCTTTTCCAAACGCATCACAGGATGGATGGGAGGGCGCCTGGGGGGTGGGGGGACGGTCCCCCACGAGCTTGCTTTGTCAGGCGGGTGGAAGGGAGGAGAGAACACGACCTCTGCTCACCACGTGTCCTGACTCCGCCTTGTCCGAACGAGAGAGAGAGAGAGGGAGAGAGAGAGGGAGAGAGAGACACGCACACATGTCCCACGTCCTGGGCTTCTTCACAGTGAAACGCTTTTCACTAACAATGAGCCGAGATGCCCATCAGGTGGCAGCTAGGGTCACGCCACCTGCACGGGGCCGAGCGGGAACTGGCACGTAGGTTCCTTTGTCTCCAAAGGCCCTTAAAACGGGGGTAGACGCTCCTCTTTTGTGAGGTGAAGTGAAGCAGGCTCAGTGCAGCCCCGGCCCTCGGCAAGGGTGCCCCGAAGGACCCCTCGTTAGCGCAGGATGATCAAGCCGGTCACTGCGGGCACCTTCCGGCTCTGCCTCTGTAAACTGCTGGCGGCGACTCCGCATTACGACCACTAATGCTAATTGGCAGTAATAATAACCGTGGCCACCCAGGGCTAGACGCGGCCCATACGCATCCCCGTGCCACACGGGGGGGACCCGTTAAACTGGTCGTTTAAGGAAACCAAGTACGGTCACGGTCAACAGCTGATTTAGGTTAGACTCATTTGTCATTTCCTGCTTCTCTTTGCGCCCACTGTGACTGCAGAAGCCACGTGAGAGGCCATGCGAAGGAGGCTTCCTGGCACCCCTTGTAAACACGCAACAGATGTGGCTTTGGCATTGGCTGCCATGGGCCGGGGTTCGCCCGGGGCAGGAAGTCGGCCAGCTGTGTCCCCTTTACACCCCGGCCCGAAACCTGCAAACAGCTGCGTGGGAGGGACTGTCCCCTTCAGCCCCCTTTTCTGCATCCTCACCCCTCTTTCCCGCTGTGAGGAATCGGGTGCACGTTTGCCACGTTTTACTAACAATAAACTAGTGATCGTCACTCTGCAGACAAATACTGTGCCACCCACTAGTGCCCAGAGCGGCGGTTTGGGAGGAAAGGGAATGAGAATCCGAGAAGCGTCACCTGCTGCCACGGCCACGAGGTCGCTCACCGGTGTGAACGCGTGTGTCGGTCACCGGTCACTGCATCGCAGACCGCACCGAGCCTTAGCACGTCACACCGCGGACCGTTCTCTCTCGTCCGTTCCGTGGCTGGGGCGGGTCGTCCTTCCCTGGTCTCGCACGGTCGCTGTGGCTGCGTCCAGCAGGCGGGGTGGCTGGAGGCGGGCTCGGCGGGGCCTCCTTCCCCTCGTGGTACAGTCACCCCGGACGTGGCAGTCTCGGGGGGCCGGCGGGGGCAGCTACAAGCCTCTCGTGCCAGCATCGTTTCATGACCCCTTGTTGGTCAATGCAAGTCACGAGGCCAACCCTGACCCACCGGGAAAGCGAACACTCCCTGTCTCGATGGGAGGGTGGACACGTCACAGTGCAGACGGGTGTGAGGGGGTCATTCTGGCCTCGGCTGGAACCAAGGTCACGCGAATCTCACCTGATGGCCTAAGGGGACGTCTATCTTACTAATGCTAGTTCAGCACAGATACTCTGGGGCTAAGTACAAAGCCTCCCCAGTTAAGACGCCCTACACTCAGCTCGTTCAGAGACGCGGAGAGTTGGCTGTAGGTGCCCCCCATCCCCGGTGAGTCCGGGGTGTCCCCACAGCACCGTTGGCTTGTCCATTCACTCACGCCTGTGTCAGAGCGCGTGCAAAGCCCCGCGCCGCCCCTGGGACCCTGGGAGAGGCGGCCCGGTCAACCTCAGGGCTTTTCCCGTCGTCAGGTGCTACCGTGGGCAGCTCTCTTTTCTGCTTACCTGTGCGAACCCCACCAGGGTCGACTTCTCCATGGTTTTTTTTGTTTGTTTTTTGTTTTTTAGTTTGGAGTTTTTAAAAAAACTTTTTTTTTTCCTCTCGTAAGCAAAAGCTCTCTTTGTCCGTTCCACGTGAACCTCTATTAAGAAGTTGTAACGAACAGGACGCAAAGTAAAGAGCGTCTCGTGGTGGCGTCCACGTGGAGACCCCCAGAGACACTCAGGGCTCGGGCAGGCAGCAGCCGGGGCTTCCAGCGAAGCCCTCGCAAACCGTGGGCGCTTCGGGATTTGGTCCGTGGCAGGTGCAGATTTGAACACTGTTCATTCGTTATTAGTTTATCAAAGCAGAAAACATTTATTGTGTTTTTACCATGAGTTAGGTGAGGGATGGGGCCATGAAGAAAAATTCCAAGTTCTTGTCCTCATGTCACTGAAATTCTAGTGAGAAGAAGGAGTGAGCAAAAAAAAACATCCATTTGTCAAGTAGTGATAAACAGTGTGAAAAAAAAATAAGCAGATGAAGGAAAACTAGCAAAAGAGACTGAGCGAGGGCCGGTGAGGTCAGCGGCAAACCAGGATGGAGCATGTCGCCGGCCGGGAAGCGTGTCAAGGGAGGAGAGACAGGTGTGTCAAAGGCCACTAATGCCGCCAGGTCATGCGCGCTGGGGCCTGAGGACGGGCCACCGGGCTTGGCAACGTGCAGGTCGTCGGCGACCGTTCCGGGGTGCATTTCACGGTGGGGTGCGGTGAGGCTGCAAACAGTGTGGGGTCAGGAGGAGAGGTGGGGAGCATGGTTAGCCCCGTGAGTGTCCCTCGGAGGGGCGCGTGGCGGAGGGGACGGAGCCACAGGAGAGGGCGGTGGCAGGAAGTCCGGCAGTGCGCTTGGCGTGGTCGGGAAAGGTCCAGCCCCGTGGGAACTGCTGATGGCGGGGGCGGGGGCGGGGCAGCCTCCGGGACGGTGACCCCGCGGGGTCAGGAGGACGACTGCTCCACGGCAGAGTGAGAATGTCACGCCGTCAAACGCTTTCTGTGTAGAGCCAAAAATCTATGCGCGTGTTCATTTTTTATTTATACGCTACTTTAATAGCTCGCTGTATGCATTTCAAAACATACGTAAAATTCTACCCAAATATTTGGAGAATAAATGTCTGCATAGAAGGCCCAGCATTTCCTCTCCAGACCCCACAGGCTTCTCTCACACACACCTCCCAGAAGGGCAAACACCTCGCTTGGGGTCTTAGCTTTAGAAAATGTCACTCTCTTCCACTGGCGTCAAGAGCCGTTGGAAGGAGAGAGCTCGGTCTTCTAGATTTGAGAATCCCGAGTTTTCCTTTCATCTTATTTTCTGAGTGTTTCCACCTTACACAACGCCTCACGAAGAAGGATGACTAAATGTCGCACTCAAGTGGATTTCATTAAAAGTTCTAATTCATAAAAAAAAAGGTTCTTCAGATGCTCTTGGAGGTTGCTTTCGTCACAGGCCATGTCACAAAATACAAAAAAGCACCCAGAAAGGAGAACAATCACATTTCGATTTTCATTTGTGGACATTGGGTCGCTTTTCCACCGTGACTTATTTCCATGGCTTCCTCGAATCCAAGACCGAAGGACCAAGCGTACACCTCACGACAGGTGTCCAACTAAAAGCTTTCGCCACTTGATAAGAGTGAGAAATACATTCTATTTTCCTCTGTAGTTTCTGTGTAAAAAAAAAAAAAAATGCAGTGGCCACAAAACTAAGAAGGTGTGTCCCTGGGTTGCAAAAAGCAGAGTATAAATGACAGGCACTGGAGCTCTTCCCGGAGGAGAGTCCTCTGGAGAATATTTTTGCTAATGGTGAGGCTGAAATTAGTGGCACTTGCTGATCAGATGCGACCAGACGATGGCGTCAGGTTGAACCACGATGCAGGTCTTCAAGGTGGTCCCCGGAGTCCTTCCCGTGGCTCCGGCGTGATTCCAGTCGTGTTCGGGGCGCGGGTCTCGCCCTTGGAGAGACAGGACGCTCTCAGACCAGCCTCTCTGGGGCAGGCGGCGGCACCAGGCTCCACATCTCCATGCGAGATCCCTCCTTTTCCTGACGGCTCGGGCTGTAGGTTCCCTGAGTGGCCCTTTTGCTGGAAGCGACAACAGCCACAGCAACTGCCAGAGAGACGACCGCCAGCAAGGCTACCGTCACTGAGCCGACGGCGGTGAGGACGTCCACGATCAAGCCTGCTGCTGGCTGGAAAGATCAAATCAATGGTGGCGTGAGCGGCAGAGCCCAGGGACAGGTGCGGGAGCGCGGGGGAGGGGACAGGTGCGGGAGCACGGGGGGCGGGACAGGTGCGGGAGCACGGGGGACGGGACAGGTGCAGGAAGGAGCATGGGGGAGGGGACAGGTGCGGGAGCACGGGGCTACGCGGGACGGGAGCCGGTGCCGGCACACTCAGCGCTGGACCGACACTCAGGGGAGGGGGTCGGACTTGCTCACGCCCAGACCACGAGAAAGGACTGCCCAGCGTGTCGGACACTGTAGCATGAATCACCCGGCGCGTTTACTGTGTCGGAGCCTCGGGGGCGGAGACCGTGTGACATCGAGGGCGGGAGACAGACCCACACGTAGCTTTATAAAACGGTTCTGCGTCTGTAGAGATGCCTCTCAAGCTCTTTCTTGCCTCAAGGCCGGAAGCCCTGATTCCAAGGATGGAGCCACGAAACAGAGAATGCTCAGGGCGCAAAGCGCGGCCCGAAGTTGGTTCCCCACGCAGACGTGTGAGTCCCACGAATGTGCCACGTGCCGTTCTCTCCGGTTCTGTTTACTTATCGCAGAGAAACGAGGGCTCCCTCAATATCTCGCCGTACGACCAAGGGAGCCAGCCGACAAGCCGAACAAGCCGAACATCGCCGCCACGAGCTTCCGACGGAGCGGTTCGCGGGGCACGTCCCCTGCCGGCCGCCAGCGGGCCCCGGCGCGGAGCCTCGGCGCAGAGCGGGGAGCGGGCATTTGAACCCCCCCTGGAGGGCCCTTTGCTTTGAATTCCCACCGCTCAAAGGCCTTTTTCTGCTCTGCTTTTCTTCAGCTGGGCTGAAAATACACAGCCCTGGAAGAGACCTTTCGATGATGAAAACTGCTGTGACCCAGTGCCTGGCGGGGCCTCTGGGTGCGGGACCGTCCTGCAAAGCAGCGTGGCTCGAAGCTCGGACCTGTTTGTGTGGTGGGTGCTCCCAACCCTGCCCTTCTGAATAACCTGTTCTGATCAGATGTGCCCCACATTAATGAAAAGTGTCATGTAAAATTATCATTTTCTAAACGGCTTGTGCTGTAATCCGTATTGTTAACACCTTTTTTACACGCACGTGTGTACGCGATGGAACTGGAGTCACTTCGAACCCCGTATCCACAGAACGAAACATCAGGCATTTCACTGTGTTTCCCCAGAGACGATGCATTCTGGAAGGCCAGCTGGCCGTGGCCTGTGTGCGACCCAAGGCCAGGCCAACTCTGCCGCTCTGAGGCGAGGCCGTCGAATCTCGCCGGGCACCTTGTCACCTGAGAGCGTGCGGCTGCTGAACAGACAAGTGGATCTGAACGCGGATCTGCCACTGGGCGCTGTGCGCAGGGTACGTTTCCTGTACCCCAGAAGCGCTGTGACGGGGTGACACGTCCTGTACCCCAGAGGCACTGCGAGGGTCGAGGCACGCGGGCGCGCACAGAGCTGCTCGTGGCTCGTAGGCACTGGGACGACTCGGTCCCCTGCTCCCCGCTGCCAGATGACCGGCCCTGGCTGACCTCCCTGGTCCCGCCGCCCACGACCCACCCTCGCGCCCTGTCGGCACTCAGAGCCGAGCGTGGCCCCGCGAGGCACAGCCCCCGTCACCCTCGGAGCTGGCAGGAGGCTGGTGACCTGGGCCGTCGGCACCCGCCGTCCCCTCGCCGACTGACTGATGCCCAGTGGCTCCTCAACCGTGAAAACACGCAGTGAGCTGGCTTGTCTGAAAAGGAAGAAAAAGGCGAAATCGTTTCTGTCCTCGGCATCGGGATCTGCGTGTCACTGTGTCGAGGGCCAGCGACAGCGCGCGGGGGACGTGGAAGCACCGAGCAGCCCTGGAGGAGGCCCGCAGGATTCCTTTGAACGTGACCGAAGCGCTGACTTGGAGGGGGCTGCCCAAGGCCTGGCTGCACCTCCAGGTCCCCCAATCCCACACGCTGGTTCTCATAAGGTGCGAGGAAGTGTCTGTGGTTCAAAACAGCGCCGTGTGGGGCTAAAAGTGCCTCCCAGGAGCACTGGGCTGCAGCTGGTGACTCCAGACGCTCCGCAGAACCCGGTGTTTTCCGTTACGGAGGATCCGTGCGGAGTTCGAGACGGGAAGTTGGAAGGTTCGATGTGCCAGTCGACTGTGGGCTCCGTCCCATCTTCAGGGTGTGAGTCTCGCAAGTGTGTGTGTGTGTGTTTGGTTTTACACGAGTAGCTAAGTAAGATCGTTATGTACTATTATGAGAATTAACAGTCGATAGAAAAAGTAAAGATGTGGTTTTTAAAAACTGGTCTCATATTGATCTTCTATCTGTCTATCTAGAGCGAATTAAAACAGGGAGCGAGCGAGAGGCATAGTCCACATTTCAGACGGAGGAGAGGAGTTTTTACGACTTCACCGTTGTCACAAGCAAGTCTTCGATTCGGTGGATGGTGAAAGCCTCCCACACGGACCTGAGACCTTGAACTATCTTATTAAGGAATTGCTAGAAACAGCTGTTTCCATGGTAATCCTGAATACGTGCCAGAACTCTGTTTTTAAAATGAATATTGCTCCAGCAGCCAATTTCCAACCATAAATACAGCGTCCGCTTTGCAGTGCTCAGGGGGAGACGGGGTCCCGAGGAGCTGACAGCGAGGACGTGGGTGGTGTCCCGGCGTGCTGTGGGGCCACTCGGCCGCGTGGTCTTTTTAACGAGTCAGCATGAAGAACCGGTGGACACCACAGGCCCACGTCCTCCCGCAGAGCAGCAGGGGCAGGAACGGGGCGGGGGCATCGAACCGCCCGCTGGCTCTGTCCCATGTCCCCACGTCCCCACGTCCTCGTCCGCGGCTCTGCTTCTCCCAGAAGGCACGCAGGCCTCGTCAGGCCTGCTGGGGACAGGACACTGTGATAAAGGAGTGTTACAGGCTCTTTCTCGTTAACTCTCACCGAGGCGTTACGGCCCCTCGCAATGGCCCAAGGCCGGGAGGACCGGCCTGAGATGGGGCAGGTCGGTACGGCGTCCGTGGCAGCCCCCGAAGAGGCAGGCACCTCGCTGTGGGCAGCGGGGTGGACGCGGGGGGCCGGATGGGAAAGCGGATGGGCCTGAGGCTGCGTCTTCATGGCTCCAGCTCGGTGGACCCACCGGTCCCTTCGACACCGGCCCAAGCGCGTGTCCTCCTGCGGGCCCGCCTCTGCGACGGTCAGTCACGGCAGGACACGGTCCTCCCTGCACTCGACGGTAATGGCCTGACACGCGCCCTGTGCCAGCTCGAGGCTCGGGTGCAGGGTGGCCGCCCGGCCTTGGGGCCACGTGTCCCCCGAAGTCTCCCAGCCACTCTCCGCCCCCACACCGGGCTTACGCAGGAATCCGGACACGGCGCAAAGTCTGGAGACGCTGTTTTCATATTTTTCTCTCCTTAATCAGGTGCCATGCAGAGGACACAATAGTTTTCCTTGGAAAAGTCCTTATGACTAAAAATGAGCGCTCTCTATCTCATCCAAGAACCCGACCCCAGAAGCCCAAACCCGAGCTTTCGTTATGTTTTTGTAAATTGACTGTTCAGAGGGCGTCGCCACCATTTCTGTCGACCCTGGGTCAGGGGCTGACCGGACGTCGGACTCCGAAACTGTCTTAATTCTCCTAACAGCTTGACCAGGGAGGCCCGAGCGCTTCCTGTCGCCTTCTCAGGGGCCTTTCCCAAGCACCCTCCTCCGTCGCGATCGGCTTGATCCTCTCCAGCACATAGCACAGCGTGACATCTGCCTGGTGCATGGCGTCTCCCCGGTGTGATGGACGCTCCGTCAGGTGTCCCCGCCGGGCTGTCTCCCTGGCACTCGGGACAGCCACGGTCCCCAGAGCAGTGCGTGGACTGCCACCGGACGGAAGGCTCGTCCAGCAAGCTCCACGCAGCCCTTCTCGAGCGCAAACCTCAGCGGGAGCGTGACGCGGGCTCAGCAGCCTGCTCCCTGGCGCCGCGGAAGGCGGGTGCCACCTCGAAGGGGACGCTGGGAGGAAAGGTGGACAGGGGAGGGGCCACGTGGCCGAGCAGCCGCGCGGGCGCCAAGACGGTCAGGGCTCGTTGCTCTCTGTGAAACTAGCTGCACACGAGCTGTTTTGACTCTTTTCTGTCCCTTAGAGCCCGCAGGGAACGTCGTCAGGTGACACAATCAGGAGCTGCTAGCGATGATTGGAAAAAAGGCAGCAGCCGCCACTGTTTCCGACACGAGAGACGTTCTCTCGGCCACGGGGGTCTCCGAAGAGCTGGGGGGCGGCCACGCTCCCCGCCCGTCTCCTCCCGTCTCTTCGTCACCCCGGAAAACAGCCGCTGCCGACGGAAGACCCGGAGCGTGGGAACCGCCGGCACCGCGAGCGGCTCCCGTCCTGGTCCGTCGCTCCTGACGCTCCTGGCTCATCGTCACCCCGCACGCAGCTGCGGTCACAGCCGCGGCCCCCGCGTCCGGCCCCGATTTCTCTCTTCTGCGTTCCCACGGTCACGGCCCGGGCGAAGACGCTCCCCGTTGTTCGCTCGGGGTGCCAAAGCATCCCCAGGAGTCGACGCCACCCACCCAGCCCTTCGGAAGAAAAACGGCCTCGCTCACCTGGCTCGGATGCCCAGGGGGACCAAGGGCGTCAGACCCGGCCACGCACAGCTGGCTTTGCCGAGGTGGCGGTCGAAGCCCTCCGCTGGTGCTCACGGTGGGTCACAGGCCAGCTAGCGCCCCGCCCTCCAGCAAAGCAGCTCTGCGTCCCCTCCCCACACGGGGTCACCTGCCCCCGCCAGCGCCACGTCTCCACGTGGACACGGGCCGTGCGATCGGTCCCACGTCTCCCCCTAACTTCGTCCGCGCTCTGCGAAGCCTCCCCACGGACGTCCCCGAGCGGACGCAGCCAGGCGCAGGGCTCGGCCACCTGCGACCCCTCCCGCCAGACTGTGCGGCAAGAGTGTCTGTCGTCTCTGGAACTTTCCGGGGAGACGGAGTGTGGCTCCCACAGCGTAGCGC